TCTTCTATAGAAGATGTTAGAACTGGCAGGAACCCAGCCCTGCTCCAGCCCCTACTCATGTTTACCATTATCACTCACTTTCTCTGGAAGGTTACCACCGGATCCTCCAACAAATCATTGAAATCCAGTTTTCTTCCTTTCTCAATGACATCGCGATGCTTCCGAACAAAGAGCCAGCCGATATGGGAGAAAAAGAACCCTCGCTGGGCGTTATGCGGGTCAGCATCCGTCTCGGAGTATTTGTGATGCACTCGGTGGTCTCGGGCCCACTCAAAAATATCATTCTGCACAAAAGAGAAGAAGAAAAATTAAGTGTCATCCTGGTATTGTGGACCTCGCTTGCCCATGTTGCATTTTAAAGCAGGCAGCATTGTCGATGGAGATTGGAGTGGATGCGGTGGCCTAGAGGTAGCAAGCAGGAGGCTCTGAGTTCAATTCTAGGTAAAGGCAGATATTCTTTTTCTCTCTCTCTCTGGGCACAAGGGGAATATATCTGCTGAACAGAACTCTGCATTGGCGACAGGAAGGGCATCCGGCCATTAAATCATTCTGCGAGCTCCCTTCAGTTGTCCAGACGCCATTCCGCAAGGGATTATGGAGTTGTCAAATGAAGATGATGATTGTCTGTGGAGATTTTCAGTCATTCGTCACGATTGTCCCAAAGATGTTTTTTTCAAAAAGCAACCGGACTTCATTTGTTTTTCCTTGAGGGCATTTCACTTCTCATCCAAGAAGCTTCTTCAGTTCTGAGGAACAAGAAGCAAAAACCTCTTCAAAGAAAAACAAAGAAAGGTCCACTTGCCTTTTGAAAAAGCATCCTTGGGACAAGCCACAGCATTGTTTGTCGGAAAAAACAACTGTTTATGTCAAGTACTATCAAAGATAGCAGCTGGCTTAGTCTCCAAAGAAAATTCCCCTCAGGCTATTCTGTTGCTTCTACCTCCTCTGAGACTTCAGAAGTATTTTTACCTCACACACTTGAGGAGGAGAGCAGGTGGGCTTATTTTTAACATATAAATACCGTAGCAGGTGCAGACATCTCTGACCCTGTAGCAGGGGTCAGCAACCATAAACCCTCAAAGAGCCATTTGGACCCGTTTCCCACAGAAACGAAAACACCGGGAGCCACAAAACCCTTCCTGTGCTGACTATTTCCTCAGCGACCACAAAACTAGCATATGTAGTTGAGATAAATGTCCTGTTTTCTTCTGTAACTTTTCTTTTCTCGGTTTTATCCATGCCTACCGGGGGTCGAAAAGCTCAATAAATTGCATCCCGGCGGGTGTCGCGCATTGGCGTTTGTGACACATATTTTGAGCGACAGGGAGCCGCAGAAGAGGGATGAAAGAGCCACATGCGGCTCCAGAACCGCAGGTTGCTGACCCCTGTCCTATAGCCTATGTCATTTAAAATACTTCTCTCTTATAGAGCCACGAAACCAGCATCTTCAGTGGCATCTTAAGTTTTACCTGGATAATAAAAACTGGAAAATAAATAATTCTGCAAACCATGTTGCTGGTTGATCCTGTACAATCTCAAGTACCATATATTCCGCCGTATAAGGCGACTGGGCGTATAAGATGACCCCCTACTTTCAGGCGCCCGCAAGCCAGCTGAAGGCCTCCGCACTGCCGGGCTTTCGTAGTTTGAGCTCAGCGTCTTCCTCCTCCAGACCGCCAGCCAGACCTTACTAAGCCATTCCAGCGCTCATCCATCCACGTGCCCAGGCGAGGAACGCCGAGGTTATCGATTGAAAGGCCGGTGACTGCGCTGGTGGTGGCGCGGCTTTTTGCTTGGCGGCGTTGTTTTTTCTTTTCTTTCATTTTTGGGGTATTCCTGGTGTATAAGATGACCCCCAATTTTTGAAATAATTTTTTGGGTTTAAAAAGTCGTCTTATACGCCGGAAAATACGGTATGCCCGCTCAGGATAAAACTGAATTCACAATCCCTTTATTTATGTACATGGTATTTTTTTTTCTTCCTCTGCACCCATTTTCTCTCTCACACACAAACTATAATTATCATTTATAACAATCTCGGTGACAATGGCAGAAGCTACTTGTAAGCCTGATTCCAGCCCAAGGGACATTTCAGTTGTGGACAATAACATGCCTGAAGAGCAGAGTTACGTCTTTCTCAGACTATAAGCAGCCCCATCCATTGAGCCTTTGTCCCTTACAGGGTGGAAGCGTTAAAGTCCAGGTAGTCCTCAACTTACAACCACAAATTTCTATTGCTAAACAAGGTGGTTGTTAAGTGAGCTGATGTAAGAGAAAGAGAGGCAGAGCCTGGGGATGGAGTCAAGAAAGGAATTAGCCTGGAATCATCAGGTTCTCACAAGCGGCCTTAGTGCTGACTGTTAATTGACTAAATTCTTGTTTATGAGCAATAAGTCAGCTTAAATGGAACCTAACATGTGGTCTTGATGCTTCATGCCCGACAGTTGCACCTGGTTTTACAATGTTTTTTTTTGCCAGAGTTATTAATCTCAATCACTGCAGTTGTTAAGTGAATTCCCAGCATGATAGGCTGGGGAATTCTGGGAGTTGAACTCCATAGGTCTCTAACAGTGGTCGGTTCTGTGGACGTGGCTTTGTGGGTGTGGCAGGGCTAGGATACTGCAAAATCCTCGTTCCCTCCCCACCCCACTAACCTGCTTTCCAGCTCCATTCTCCTGTTCAGGGCAAGAAAAGAAGATCCGCCGGTAGGCAGCAGGGGCGGGGCCAGCCTATTTGCTGGTTCTCCGAACTACTCAAAATTTCTGCTACCGATTCTCCAGAACCCGTCAGAACTGGCTGAATACCACCTCTGGTCCTCAGGTTGCCAAGGTTGGTCTTATACGATTGCTCAAGAACAGTTCAACAGTTGTGTGAATCCATTCTAAATACCCACCTGAAATGCCATTGAATTGGCTGCAGCCAAAAATATCCGCAGAGGCAGTCTGGCTTTGTAAGATCTGTGACTCCACAAGCGATGGGCACCCGCTGTCACACCCAGGGCACACACCAGGAAACATATGTATGCTGAAAACATGACGGAAAAATGAAAGAAGGAGAGGTTAGGAAAGCACCAAACCTCTGTGTGGTTATTAAAGTACAGCTCATACTATCAGTGCTTCTATAGCAGGGTATCAAACTTGATTTCATTGAGGGCCGCATCAGGGTTGTGTGGGTGGGACATGGGGTATGCCTGGGGGCATGACCAGCGTAACGTCACTCGTGTTGGGGTGGCTATGATGGCCGGAGTGCTCTGTCAGCAAAAAATGGGCTCATTAGCTCTGTTTTCGGCTGAGCTGGCCTCCTGCAAATCTTTGGCAGAGGAAACGGAGCTCATGAGAGCCACATGCGGCCCTCCTGTGCTCCATTTTAGCTGGCAGAAGCACTGTAGGCTGGTCCTTCACTGTTTCCAGGGCAGCCCCGTGGGCCAGATCTAAGCACCCTGCAAGCTAGATCCAGCCCACTGGCCTTGAGTTTGACACTCCGGCTCTATAGCCACGGCATGTAATACTTTGCTGGGACTTCTAATTTAATCCATCTAGCCTATTGAGTTCTCATAAAAACTGCAATTTTTTATAAAAATATAGAACCTGGCAACCAATTCTCACAGAAGGTTTGAAATTTAGACAGTTTCACCCCTCATTAACCATGTTTTCTTCCTCCACTCCAGAGGTGGGTTCCTACCAGTTGGGCCCGGTTCGGCCGAGTTGGTAGTAACTCAGTCGGACACGCGCCCTAAACAGTTCTATCCCCACGGCTGCCATCTTGATTTTCTGCATGCGCAGAACAATCTTCTTTGCAAAAAATGTATTTTTTCCCCTTTCTAACATTGTGCGCATGTGCAAACCATTTTAGATGCAAATGTGCACATGTACGGAGCACGCATCTGGCATGAGTGTGTGCGAATCAAACGTGTGTGCGCAAAATGTTTTGCATGCTGAAACCGGTAGTAATGCCAGGAGGACACTACCACTGCTCCACTCGCTCAAGACTGGACTACTGCAATGCACTCCACATGGGACAGCCCTTGAAGAGTGTTCGGAGACTTCAGCTGGTCCAGAACGCAGCCGCGAGAGCGATTGTGGGTGTGCCTCAGTACACCCATGTTACACCTATCCTCTGCGAGCTGCACTGGTTACCTATTGGTCTCCGGATACGCTTCAAGGTGCTAGTCGTCACTTATAAAGCCCTACATGATATTGGACCTGGGTACTTGAGAGACTGCCTCCTGCCGATTACCTCTCAAAGACCCATTAGATCCCACAGATTAGGCCTCCTCCGAATTCCATCAGCCGGCCCAATGTCGGCTGGCAACCACCCGGAGGAGGGCCTTCTCTGTGGCTGCTCCGGCCCTTTGGAACAATCTCCCCATGGAGATTCGGACCCTCACCACCCTTCAGGCTTTCCGTAAAGCCCTTAAGACCTGGCTGTTCCAGCAGGCCTGGGGCTGCTGAGTCCCATCCCCTACTCAAATGGATATACGTGTTGAGACCTTTTAGACTGTTTTGTACTGTTGTTTGTTTTTTGTGGTTTTCCTTTTTTGTATTGTCCTCCCCCCCACTCCCTTGGTTTTGTTAGCCGCCCTGAGTTGGGGAATAGGGCGGCATACAAGTTGAATAAAACCTCAACCTCAAACCTCAAAATTCTCCATGCCTACCTTTCCCCCTCTAATAGAGGCAGAAAAAAGATTGATGCTTTAAAGCAGGATTGTTTCTTGACTCACCTAGAAATATCCACCCACAACACATTTCTTCTTTCTGAACAAGGAACACAATGCCACGGCGGCAATTCACAAGGCAGCTATGTTTTCTGCACTGAAAAGCTACCTCGTCATATTACACAGGTAGTTCTCGACTTAGAACCAAAACGGGGGCCCCAATTCTTGTTGCCAAGCGAGTCAATTAAGTGAGCTTTGCCCCATTTTCATGACTTCGATTGCCACAGTTGCTAAGTGAATTGTTTCAGTTGTCAAGTTGGTAAAACGGTTGCAAAGTGAATCTGGCTTCCCCATCGACTTTGTTTGTCAGCAACAGAAAGTTTCAACTCGGTGGTGGTTGTAAGATGAAGGGCTATCTGTATTTTCCCTGTTTCTTTGCATGTACACCAGAGGTGTCAAACTCAAGTTCATTGAGGGCCGCATCGGGGTTGTGTTTGACCTTGGAGGGGCTGGGGGGGAGGCATGACCAGAGTGAGTGTGGCCAGCATGACGTTCGTGTCAGGGGTACCTGTGATAGCTCAAGGGCTCTGCCAGCAAAAATGGGTTTGCGAACTCCGTTTCCAGCTGCAACAGCTTCCTGCAATCCTCTGCCAGCAACAACGCCACTCCATTTTTGCTGGCAGAGGCACCATGGCCTGGTCCTTCACTGTTTCCAGGGTGGCCCTGCAAGCCAGAACAATGCACCCCCCAAAAGATTGAGAAGTGGGGTTGCCAACCCTGACCCTACAAATGTTGGATTTTCTCATTTTAAATTCATACTCGTTTTAGAATAGAATAGAATACTTTATTGGCCAAGTGTGTTTGGACCCACAAGGAATTTGCCTTTGGTGCATATGATCTTAGTGTACATAAAAGACAAGATAAATTCCTCAAGAACCATAAAGTACATCGCTTAATGATAGTCCTAGGGTACAAATAAGCAATCAGGAAACAATCAAAATCAAGATAAATCATAAGGATACAAGCAGCAAAGTTACAGTCCTGCAGTCTTAAGTGGGAGGAGATGGGTGATAGGAATGCTGAGAAGATGAACAGTAATAGTAATGCAGCCTTAGTGAATAGTTTGACAGTGTTGAGGGAATTATTTGTTAAGCAGAGTGATGGTGTTTGGGAAAAACTGGTGTGCTGTGCTCTATACCGTTGGTTTTTTTCTCCAAAGAATTTTTTATTTTTCATTCTCTTACATATCATTGAAGTATACATTCACATAATTGTTATTCTTCTTTACATTTGTCATTCTTATACATTTATTATTTCATTTTATAGGTTATAATATACAGTTTGGGTTGCTTTATTTACAATTCCTTCCGCCTGTTGTAACACCACCTTATTTTCCCTTTCTTTTCTCCCTCCCTTCTCTACTTCCTTCCTTCTCTCCTTCCCCTTCCTTCTTTCCTTACCTTTCTCCTACTGTTCCCCTTCCTGCCCACTCTCCTTCTCTTCCTCTCCCTGCTATCCTCCTCTCCTTACCTCTTTCT